TGTACTGCTTGGTTTCCTTGTCCATGGCCTGTCTGCCTAGAAGTCATGGAGCCAGTTGTCAGGTTTCTGGGCTTCTTTCTTTCCCACAGGAAAGCTGCAGGGAGGATCCTTGGGGCGTGTACGACGTTACTCTATTTCAAGCATGATAAAGAAGCTTGAAGTCTCTTGTGTGGGATTAGATGAGTGGTTAGGACTTCACTCCATCCCTATGGTTGGATAGGATCAATGACGCAGTGGTTCATTTTTCAACAGAGCTACTAGGCTTTGATGCTTCTTTGCTTAATATTTTGTTTCTTTGTTTCCTTATGTTTGAGATGGAGAAAAAAAAAATCAGTCTTCTCATGAGACTTACATAAGATTAGAAAAGATCTGCTGGAAGCTACAGCATTGGTTGCTTGTGTAGATGATTTTGAAAAGAGAATTCCACACATTTTAAGAAGATACAGTGCCAGTTTGATGTAGTAATTAAAGGTGCTGAATTAGAGGCTGGGAACGATGAGTCTTTGCCTTGGGCACGAATCCAGCTGGGTGACTTTGGGCCAGTCACTCTCTCTCAGCCTAGAAAGAAGATTCTGGCAAGCCACTTCTGAAAATGTTTCCAAGAAAACTGCAGGGACCTGTTCTTGCAGTTACAGAAGTCAGAGCGGTCTTAATGGGCCATAAAAACAACTGTGGTATCCGTGCTCATGAGTCATAACCACTGCATTAGAATCTCCACACTAGGCAGTGAATAGAAACTCTCCTGGGAGGTTTAGTGGACTTCCCTTCTGAGCTTCGTCTCTGACTTCCTTTGAGACATTTGATCCTCCTCTGAGGAATAGGTTGCTGGCTTTGTGGGGCTTGAAATGAGCTTCACAAACCCAGTTGCAGAATAAATCTTCAATTAGGAAGGGACTGGGGGTTTCTAATACTGGAAGTGAAGGTAAAATTGTAGCCAGGGGGACCTTTGCACAGCTCCATCTTGTGCATTTGTTGTAACTATTCCTCATCCTGGGGGTTTATTGACAGTCACTATATTGACAGATTATTGCAATTCGTTCTCAATGATGCTATCCTGAAGACCATTCAGAAGCTACAATTGATTGAGAAGGCAGTGATCTGGGTAGTAATGAGGACATCACAGTTTGCCCATGTTACCCCACTGAACTGGCTCCCAGTGGTAGGTGCTGGTTGTCAGCTTTAAAACCCTACATGGCTCAGGACCATAAAGTCAAGACTATACCAACCCTTTAAGGTAGGCCAGGTAAGGAAACAGACTGCACAGGTTTGATTGGAACTGCCCTTTATGGAGATATAGCAACAGAATCTTGAAAGCTGGACTGAATTCTCCCTTCTTATACCCCAGAGAATTAGGGTAGAGCCAATCTAGGCTTCTCTCACTGTTTCCCATGCTTAAAACATGTTTGGGTTTATTTAATCATCATCTGTGCTTAGTTGCTCTGATGTCATGTCCATGGCTCTCTACAGACTGCCTATTCTAGTGGACTATGCCTGCCCAGTAAGGCCCAGTAGGGAAGGCCTACTCTGGGTCTGGACTCATGGGGACCCACAGCAAAGACCCACTCAGGAACCCTGAGCATGAGCTTTCTCCATAGGGGCACACCCTGCTTTTGCAACACTGTACCCATTATGGGTGTGGAGTGTGTGCAGTTGACAGTCAGTTGTTCTTGATGTGACTGATAAGCCTGAGTAATCAACCAATTAGATCTCCATGGAGGGGACATGATGGCATTATTTCTGCAAAAAGAACTTTGCATTCATCTCTCCTGAGCCACAGCAGTTCTGGAGGTCCGTAGTATCAGCTGTCAAAGAGCAACAATAGGGTGGTAACCCAGGAGCATGGTGCTACTCCAGAAGTTTGTGTGGAAGGGCTTGCAGATGGTTCCATGGTTCAAACTAGAAAGTTGAGGGTCATGTTCCTGGGAAGAGGCAGGGAGATCCAGCTAGGAGGTGAATTTGAAGAGGCAAAGTGTGGTCACAGTTCCAAGTCATAAAGGAGAACTGGAGGGCCATAATTTTAGGAATGCGAAAAGCGTCCCTCCCCCAGTTCTAATCCTCTGCTTCAGGGTTATTTTCTACTAGCTTTTAGGAATGTGAGCAGTTTGATTTCTTTGTTTTCTGTTTGCAATTGATGCACAAGCCCTATACATCACCATACTCTCTCTACCGTATACTTGATTGTGAGAACTCTCACAATCCTATTTGAGGATTCTTAAATTCCAGACAAGGAGGAGTCAGCATCCATTGGCCAAACCTCTCCAATCCTAATATTCTTTTCACTGAATGGGAAGCACTAAATGGAGAAAAAACAAAGCCAAACTATGATTGAGTAATTGAATAGATGATTGAATTGACAGATATTGGTTTGATTAATAATGGCCTAAGCCAACAATCTGCCTTATGCATTCTTGCATTTTTTTTTCCCCTCAAAAGAGTTTTTTCCCCTACCTCTTACTCTCAGGGAGCTTTAGAATTTCTTTTGAATTTCTCCATGTCTACTCAGCACATCCTAATGTGGGGGAAAAAATCCAGGGGTTATCAGAACTTTCCGTTCCCATGTAGACTACCTAGCAACATTTTTACAGCCCAATTAAAAGGAAAAGAAGGACATGCATACCCACAGATGCCGCTTGACTTCCTACACGGGAAAACCAGCCGGACAAGTAAAATATTCTGATTCTACATGCCAATTATTTGAGCGTTAAAACACCCTCCTGAAGTCTCTGACATTCCTTTCAGGTATAG